AAACAGGCCCTGAATTCAATCCCCAACACTACAAAAAAGAAATGAAAAGAGAAAGTGAGCTTTTCCTACTCACTGGATAAAAAAAAAAAGATTTTATTTTCATGTTTATGTGTATAAGTGTTTTGCCTGCATGCATGTAAACAAACCTGTGCCTGCACTGCCTGCAGAAGCCAGAAGAGGACATTGGATTCCCTAGAACTGGAGTTACAGGTAGTTGTTAGCTGGGAACACAACTCTGGTCCTCTGAAGAGCAGTCAGTGCTCTTAACTGCTGAGCTGTCTCTCCAGCCCCAAGCTGTTGTTTTTTACATAAAGCCCAAGTGCATGTTTAAGAGTAATGATCCATTTAAAATGATTGGTGGGGCTTTATGCAATGTTTATAAAGCCTCTGAAGGAATTTCCAAAATTTCGGACCTATATGCATTTTGCGTGCAGCATCAAGGGGAAGAAGGAACACTGGTCCATAGCTTTTCAGATTTTAAAAGGCACAGAGCCCTCTCCCCTCAAAAAGAAATTTAAGAACCACCAACCCTGGGTGTGGTGCTGCAGGCCAGTCATGGCAGCCCTCAGGGTGATGCAGGAGTACCAGAAGCACAAGGAACCTCAGCTCCAAGGTGAATAGAGGACAACCTAGGTTCAAGAGAATGTAAGAAACAGCAACAGGAAAACCCACTGGCCCAGGAGTCAGTCCAGGAGAGTAGCAGACTGAGCAGGTTATCTCAGAGCAGCATTGACACTTGGGCTCTGAAGGCAACCCAACAAGATTCAAACCCCAGCTCAGCCACTGAGGGAACGGACCTTCAGAGCCTTATTTCAGGTCTTAAGTCCCAGAATCCTTTTCTATCCTACCTCTACTTGTAAAAAGAGCCAAGGGGATCAGACAAGAAAACATTTAGCTGTGTTTGACACATAATTAGCATAAAATTTACAACGTTACTACTAAACAAAATGTATTGCAGAGCCAATGCAGTCATTCAAGAGCAGATATTTGAAACACTGATTAAAAACACTGATAAAACCATTCTGTAACTTAAAATTGATGCTGCTCAAATTTGTTACTGTGCTCTGAGGGACACAATGTAGCACAGGTCCTAGGACCTGGGAGACAGAGTTCTGGTTCTACATCTGTTCCCCCATCACTCCCACAGAGCTTTCTTTCCATCACACCACCCACACAACACAAAAGCTGCCCCTTGTTACTCAAACACATCACCACCACAGTGACCAGAATTGTAGGCCAGTAACTACCATGCCTCGTTTGGAATTATTTTTTCTTTTTAAAAAAAAAAAATTTTATTTACGCTGGACGTGGTGGTGCACGCCTTTAATCCCAGCACTCGGGAGGCAGAGGCAGGCGGATCTCTGTGAGTTTGAGGCCAGCCTGGTCTACATAGTGAGTTCCAGGACAGCTGGGGCTACAGGGAGATCCTGTCTCAAAAAGACAAAACAAAAAAACAATTATTTTTTTTTTATGTGTATGAGTGTATTGCCTGCATGTACGTGAGTGCACCTGTGTCGTGCAATGCTGCGGAGGTCAGAAGAGGGCTTCGGATTCCCCCGGAACTGGAGTTAAGGACGTTTATAGCCACCATGTGGATGCTGGGAATCAAACCCAGGTCCTCTGCAAGAGCAGTCAGTGCTCTTAACCACTGAGCCATCTTCCCAGCCCCTAAAACTGTGTTTTTAAGGCACTCCATTCATAAGATGTCAATCTCTATTCATTCAACTTTATGTATTTTGTTACCTTTTGCTATTTCCCTGTACACAAAGGGGGCATGGGTGGAGACTAGAAGAAACCACATACATATATACACATATATGTATCTATTTTTATTTTTTCTCATTAAAATTGACACTAAATTACTAGGGTTTTTTTAGCAACTACAGGCTTAGATTCTGAATCTCAAACGGTTTGAGAACTCTCTATCCAGTTTAAATGGAAAAAAGTATTTTATGCATATCAAACTCTATTACATAGTTATTAACTAACAATCTGAGGAGGTTTTTTTTTTGGTCTTTTTGAGACAGGGTATCCTTTGTAGCCCCAGCTGTCCTGGAACTCATTATGTAGACCAGGCTTACCTTGAACTCACAGAGATCCACCTGCCTCTGCCTCCCAAGTGCTAGTATTAAAGGCGTGTGCCACCACACCTGGCTACAATCTGAGGCTTTAAAAAAACATAAATATATGAGCCGGGCGTGCTAGCGCACGCCTGTGATCCCACCACTGGGACTACATAGTGAGTTCCAGGACACCTGGGGCTACAGGGAGACCCTGCTTCAAAAAGACAAAAATAAATAAATAAATAAATAAGCAAAAAAATATTGAGTGTACTTTTCTTTCATGCCTGCAGCTACTTAAATGACCAATAAAACTAATCTTTCAAAGGGAGATTTATAATCAGAGAACTTAGAAGGAATCATTTAAAAAAACATTGTGATGTAAGAAATAAACAGGTTCACCCTATCAGCCTGAAAATTATTGGTTTTCTTGGTCTTTATGGAACTATTAACACCAAGGCAGTGCATTTGGTTAAGAGCATTTACTGACGCCCAAGAAGGCTTTAAAACAGACATTTGACATTCAAAAATATTCAATTAGTTCCAGAAGCCACTTTTAGCTCAGTGTAGCACTGGAACTCAGAAACAAGCACACCTGTAGCCTCACAATCCTGGAGGGAAACAGCTACAAGATCAAGCCAGCTGCATGCAGAGCTCAAAATTCACTCACAGCTACACACAGAGGCTAGAAGACATCTTAATAAGGCCTCTGCAATAAATTATACACTGAAAATAAAGGTAACAGTCAAAATGACACTTAAAGCCAGTGATCACTGACCTCTAGTGTACACAGAATCAGACTTCTTCCAAAAAAATAAACATGGACAGGGCACCCTCAAAGACAGAACATGCAGATATCCCTACCATGGGGCCACGTGTCTGGATGCAGAGAGGCTCAGGTTTTTATAGGATCTGCACTGATCAGACTGTTCACTTTCATCTCACAAGTGTAATCAAGTCTGCACACAAGGCATTACATCAAACCACAGCAGCAGCACCACGACCGGACAACTTTGACCTTAACCCAGTAAGAAGTGGTGCAGCTGAGGCACTGGGCTGAAGACACTCCAGCTTAACGAAAGCATGCCAGAGGCTGGCAGCCTGCTTCTTTCCAACTAGAAATTTAGGAACATACCAAATGTTTGTTTATAACACCAAGAAAATGCACCAAGCAAAGAAAGCTTACATCATCTGCCCTTCTAAGCACGTGATGTGAGGGTGTTTGGGGATAAAATATTAACTTTGGTAAAAAGGTATTTTCCATTTACATCCTCTATAAATACCCCTTAACTTTACACCAGGTGCTGAGAGACAGAGTCTGCAGGTCCCCAGGGCATTAGTGAAGGGTGGCCCGCTGTTTCTGAAGAGCCTCATTTGCCTGATGTATAACTGTTGAAGGTATAGTTCCCTCAAAACCCTAAATCAGTTTTCATATTTACATATTCCAGGTTTATTCAGGGATGCTGAACTTAAGAATCACAGGTGGGCTGCTCAGTAAATCGAAGGCTCTGTGACGCCTCCTCAAATTTAGTGCTCTGCTTCCCCAGCCTGTATGAATGCAGAAAACTCCAAGTTGATGCTAAAGTTATACAGCAAACTCTCTCAGAAGAGTATTAGTCTACTTTAGTACTTTTACAGCTCATTCTATGTAAAGTGAAGTGTTACTTCTGTACTTCCTACTTAAAAAAAAAAAAAGCAAGGATTTTAGCATCATTTATTTTTACGGTAAATGCCATCGGTTTTATTGAAAAAAAAAAATCTTTGCAATCTAATGTAGACTAACTCACTACGGTAGGAAACAAAAGCATAAGGCGTGCAGGTCAAAATGCACCCCCGTTCAAAATTACACACACACACACACACACACACACACACGACACCTTGGCCAAATGATTAACTACAATCACTTAATGATAATCCAGCTTTGATCAAATAACAGGCAGATGGAACCAGCTAGACCTCAATTCCAGTGCTGGCTCGGGGGGGGGGGGGGGGGCGGTGACCTTGGACAAATTACTTCAATCTCACCAGGCCTCAGTTTCTTCATCTGAGAAGCTGCCTCTTCCTTTGTCCAGAACCAAAGGGCGGGGGGCTGTGAAGCACCTTCCAACAGTGCCTGGCACAGGCAGACCCCCCCACACCCCAAAACGTTAGCTGCTGTTACTAGTGAAGAGGACCGGACCCCCTCCCAGGTCTCCCCATCCCAAACCCAAAGCACACGGAGAAAAGTCCTTCCACGGGCCACACAAAGAAAGCACTTGGTTTCTAAAATATAATAAAAGGTCCCCGGGAGTGCTGACTGCGAGTCCCCCAGTTCATCAAATGATTGAATGAACCAACGTCTAGCAGCGACTCTGCACGCAGCGAAGCATAACCTCTGCCGACTGGAAGGTCCTGGAAGGTGCTGGAAGGTAACCGTCTGCAGCCACGATGGGGGGAGCCCCTGCCCCCCACCCCGCCCGGGTGCAGCGAGCGAGGCCCCCAGCCGTGCACACTCCGGGGCGATGAGGGGTGCAGGGCGGCCTCAGGGCCCACCGGCAGCCCCCACCCCGCGCCCCCACCCCCGCCCCGCCGGCTGCCGTCGAGGCCCCGCCCCCGCCCTCCCCGGCCACGGGGCGGGGGTTGTCTCTGCGCGGCGCCCCGCACCCCGCTGGAACCTGTCACCCCAACAAGTGCGGGGCCGGCTCGTGGGCCCACCTCTGCGCCGAGGCCTGCGGCTGCAGCCGTCCGTCCCCGGGAGCCGCCGGGCCGGCCCGGGCCGGTCTCGGTTCCCCCGGTGTGATGGAGGCGCGGGGGACGCTCCCCGAACCCCGGTCCCCGGAGCCCCCCGGGCCGGCCAACGTGCCCCGCGTCCCGCAGCGCCCCGCAACCTAATGTCCCGCTGCCCAGCGCAGCCCCAAGCAGCCCTAGCGGAACAGAGGGGGAGACCCCCGTACTCACCCACCGTCTCCTCCCCCTCGGCTGTTTACCTCACAGTCCCTCTGGCCTACAGGGCGCCGCCATCTTGGGCGCGCAGCCCCTCCTCCCGGCGTGACGCGACTTGATGACGGCAGCTTCCGCCGAGGAAAGGAGTCCCGAGCAGGGCCCCGCCGCCCCGCCAGCCGCGGGCCCGAGGACGCGAGTGCGCAGCGGGGCCGAACGGAACCGGCCATGGCCGGCCTGCCCGGCGGGCTGACTGACTGAGGGCCGGCTGAGAGCGGCTCCAGGGTGGGGGCGGGGACGGCGGAGGAATCCTCCGCCGGGCGATCTTGTGACTCCGAAGGCCGAAAGAAGGCCCGGCGAGGGGGCGGGGCCAAGCGGGCGCCCGGGGGCGGGACCGGAGGGTCACGTGACTGGGAAGGCAGCGCGCGCGTGCGGTCGAATCGTAAACAAGCGGCGCTGGGCTGGGCGTGGTGGGACCTGAGCTCAGTGCCTGTGCTCAGTACCGCTGCCGCCCGCGCTCGGTGCTGCTGCCGCCCGCGCTCGGTGCTGCTGATGTCGCCCTACTCCCGGTCCTGTTTCTTCGGCAGTAGGGACTCCCCGGACATCAGGGCTGGCTTCGCACATGCTGACTTGTGCCCGGGTGGGAGCAGCTGAGAAGTGAGGGCAGCGGGCTGGAGAGATGGTGGGGCGGGGGTTCATTGGCTGCTCTTGCAGAGGACCTGGGTTCGGTTCCCAGCACCCACATGGCGGCTCATAACCGTCCTAACTCCAGTTCCAGGGATCCAATGCCCTCTTCTGACCTCCGCTGGGCATTGCACGATACTGGTGCACTTACATACATACGTGCAGGGAAGACGCTCACACACAAAAATAAAAAAAAATAGATTACATAGGTGAGTGATAGAATAAATGATTGATAGATGATGATTGGTAGATCGTTGATAGATAGGTAAGATGATTGATAGAGTACATAAGTGATAGGTTAGATTGATAAATATCGATGATAGATCAATTAATCTATCAAATGAGAACACCAGGCTGGAGAGATGGCTCAGAGGTTAAGATCACTGGCTGCTCTTGTAAAGGACCCAGGTTCGGTTCCCAGCACCCACATGGCAGCTAACAACTGTCCCAACTCCAGTTCCAGGGGATCCGACGCCCTCTTCTGACATCTGAGGGCATTGCACGACACACTTATACACAAAATATAAATAATAAATAAAATATTTTAAAATGAGAACACCTTGATTGATTTCCTCACTGTGGCAGATGCTGAGGCTTTTCAAGCCTTAATTTCTTCCTCTGACATGGTGAAGAAGTCAGCTACAACATGGAAAGTGCTTAACACAGGGTCCCATGCCTCCTGAGTGACAGCGCATAGCGCGAGTCAGGAGATGATGAACGAGCTGGAAATGAGGTCTCACGACGCAGTCTGGGCTTTTGGAGGGAGGAGCATCAAAATGGATTTATTATTTACCTCTTGCACCTTGCACCATTTTGATGGAATCTAAAGTCACATCGGAACTAAAAAAAGAAGGAATCCAAATCCAAATCAAAATGAAACAATTCAAGTAGCTCACTGTATAAAACTGCCTGTTATGCAGAGGACCAGGGTGTGTGTGTGTGACCACACAGTGGGTGCTGTCAAAATTTTGACAAGGCCCTGGACGAGCCAGACTTGTGATGCCACTAGACCACCTTAAGGATTCCTTTGTGAGAATTAACGGACTGCACTCTCTCTGGGCCCACTTGCCCCATGGGCAAGAACTCAGCCTGTTATTTTCCATTTTCATCCTCCAGCTCTCCTTGGGGACTTTTGAGCAGTAAACAGTCTATAACAACAGGTCTTGGGCCAGGCTTCTGAGGAAGGTGGGAATGGGTCTGAGGATGTCAGTGGTTCACCACCACCACAGGGGCAGGTGGTAGAAGTTTTGGATTCCAGCAAGAATTTGGATGCAGTTTTGTTTTTTTGGGTGTTTTTTTGAGACAGGGTCTCCCTGTAGCCCCAGCTGCCCTGGAGCTCACTATGTAGACCAGGCTGGCCTTGAACTCACAGAGATCTGCCTGCCTCTGCCTCTCGAGGGCTGGGATTAAAAGCGTGCGCCACCACACCAGGCAATAAAATATTTTTTAAATTTTTTAATATTTTTATTTTACACGTATGAGTGTATTGCCTGCATGTAGGTAAGTGCACCCATATCGTGCAATGCCCGTGGAAGACAGAAGAGGCCGTTGGATCCCCTGGAACTGGAGTTATGGACAATTGTTAGCTGCCATGTGGGTGCTGGGATTCAAACCTGGGTCTTCTGCAAGAACAGCCAGTGTTCTTAACCGCTGAGCCATCTCTCCAGCCCCTTTAATATTTATGTGTATGTGTGTATTGCCTGCATGTGTGTAAGTGCACCCATGTTGTGCAATGCTGGCGGAGGACAGAAGAGGCTGTCAGATCCCCTGGAACTGGAGTTATGGACAGTTGTTAAGTGCCCTGTGGGTGCTGGGATTTGAACCTGGCTCTTCTGCAAGAACAGCCAGTGTTCTTAACCATTGAGCCATCTCTCTAACCCCTTGGATGCAGATTTCTACCATCATAGTAACTGGACAAGCTTAGTCTTCTCACCAGTGACACAGGGTGATGCCTGGCAACTAGGGACAGATCCAGGATGACATCAAAACATAAAGAGGGGCTGGAGAGATGGCTCAGTGGTTAAGAGCACTGGCTGTTCTTGCAGAAGACCCGGATTCAAATCCCCACACCCACATGGCGGTTAACAACTGTCCGTAACTCCAGTTCCAGGGTATCTGACGCCCTCTTCTGTCATCCATGGGTACTGCATGACACGTATGCACTTACATGCAGGCATTATACTCATACACATAAATAAATATTAAAAATTTCAAAACAAAGAGTACAGAGCCTCATCCATTTACTGTCAGGTTTGTTGCCTGTGCTTACGGAGCATAGAGCATCCATCAGTCCCTAGAACTGGTCCTCCAAGTTCTGGATTCTTCAGCTCCTCAAGCACAAGCCCCTGGAGAAGGCTGAGGAAAAGGGGCGGATTTTCGGTTTTAACAGTTCTTTTGGTCCATAAGCCATTTCACAGGACTGAATCCCTGCCATCGCACTCACATCAGCAGAGGGATTCAAGTATTTTCAGAGTATCCTGAAACCACCAGTAACTGGAAGACTACAGAGTTTAAGGAGTGGGATGGAGACCCAGAAGTCCCCCCTTAAAGCCCTGCTTGCCTGTTCCCTAAGCACATCCTGCTGGAATGTGCTGCTCTGCCAAAGGGAGTAGTGGGGCCCATAGCTCAAGGATGCTGGCTCTCAGGGGGACCATAGCCACACTGTTACTGTTTATGCAGTGTCTGGAAGAAGAATAGTAATTGTTACCATGATATGGACCACCAGGGTCTTCTGGGAAGAGGTCAGGAAGAACAGACAGAGACAGCCTGGCCAGGACCTGTCCTACCAGCCTGAACTTTTCTGGGAGTTGATTTTTATCATTCACTGAATAGATGTTCACTAGACCACATCCTTCCACACAGCACCCTGAAGCCCCCCTGTGGCAGGGGCTTCCTGACTGTGCCCCGTGTGGGCAACTATTGCCAACTCAGCCCATACAGCAGGCATCTGGTCACCTGAGTCTGTGCATTGCATCTCTACCTCCCTCCTCCCCCAACTCCACTTGTGTGGGTGGGCCTGGCCATCACAGAGCATCCAGGCCACCAAGCGTGCTCAGGCCTCGTCAGTTCTAGACTCCCACCATCAAGCTGAAGATGTGACTCCAGCCCTGAGCTTGTGACCAGCTGTGTGTGCTTGCAAAAGATCTTGACTGCGGGCTTGTTGCCTGTGGTTGACCCCTCATAGGAGAAACAGGAAGGGTCACAGGACTCTCGCCTGAGGATGCAACCACTTCTCCCAGTCAGTTGTATGCAATTCTGCCCTAATTGCACATGACCCTGACCCCAGGACATCCAGGAGGGGCTAGAGTTTCTAGGCAAGGAAGGACTAGGGAGAGGGTGCCATCTAAGCAACCTTGGGAGGGTTGCCTTACTGGCTGGGTGCAGGACTTCCAGTGTGGTCTCGGAGTCACCCACCTTCCCGCATGTAGCCCCTCAATCAATGCACTGCAAGTAAGCCTAATCAATTCTTTGGTTCCCCAGAGTGAGCTTTGTTGGAATCAAACTTTTGGTTTAACATTGGGATCTTAGAAGGAGGGGGTGGGTCAGTTGCTTAGTTCCCTGCCCCAGGGAACTAGCCAACCAATAAGAATGCTTTCCTGGGCCCTGGAGAGATGACTCACTGTTAAGAGCTCTTACTATTCTTGAAGAGGACTCTGGCTCAGATCCCAGCACCCATGTGTCAGCTCATAACCACTTGTAACTCCAGTCCCAGGGAACCAGACACCCTCTTCTAGCCTCTGTGGGCATTGCACATACATGGTACACTTACATACATGCAGGCAAAACATTCACACATGCTCTGGAGAGATGGCACAGAGGTTAAGAGCATTGGTTGGTCTTGCAGAGGACTCAGGTTTGATTCCTAGTACCCACATGGCAGCTAACAACCATCTACACCTCCAGTTCCAGGAGATCTGATGTCCTCTTCTGACTTCCACATTGCACGACACAGGCACACTTACATTCATGTAGGTAATACACTCATACACATAAAATTTTTTTAATGTAAAGTTAAAAAACATTTATACACATAAAATAAAAAAAGAGTATTTCCATGTTCATATATATGAATACTAAAGGAGATTTTTTCTGTTTCTTCTGGCTTCATTAAACCAGGGAAAGGAGCCTGTAGCCTCTCCCGTCCTCTGTACCACATATAGCACGCTATGCAAGAAGTCTAGCCTAAAGAAGGCATACCAGGGGGCTGGAGAGATGGCTCAGCGGTTAAGAACACTGGTTGTTCTTTGCAGAAGATCTGGGTTTGAATCCCACACCCACATGGCAGGTAACAACTGCCCTTAACTCCAGTTCCGGGGGATTCAATAGCCTCTTTTGTCCTCCGCAGGCATTGCACGACATGGGTGCACTTACCTACATGCAGGCAATACATGCATATACATAAAATAAAAATAATAAAA